GATGTGATGTGATCATTGTCTATGATAATGCACATTTGATTATCACTTTGCTCTTTCCTACTGCGTCATCAGAGAAAAAAGGGGTATGTCCTATTTGTCTATTCCCCGCACAGGTTTGCCAAGCGAACTAGGTAGATCTGTAAAAGAGAGTCTTCAAACGAACCAAGGTAAAATCGAATCTCTAAAGACCACTTTGACCAGGAAGAAGATGAAAGTCACCTTCTTTGGACCGTAAGACATTGTCATTTTTTATCGTTAATACGTACATGAAACCTAGTACTTATACGGAAAACAGGTACACATGGAAGCTCACACATACTTACGCCAATAGGGAATTGAGGTCCATTGCATGAATGTCCAATTTCTTCTTTCCAAATGCCTCGATATGAGGTGTATGTATTATACACTGTATTCGTCATTCATATATGCTTGTTCATTGATTGGTTATAAGTGTGTCACATGATAAAAAGTAAACAATTGTTTTTTGCAAAAAGTACTATCCCTCCCCCAAAGTCGTAAATAAAATAGTACCCACATTAATTAAATGTTATAAATTTTGTTAAAATTGTCAAATGTTAAAATGTTACATATTTGTTGACAAAAAGTAAATTTAAAATGTTTAAAATGAAAACAAAAACCTTTTGCCTATAATTAACATGCTTATCTCGAATCATAACAATATGCGTGTTGGCCTAATTACCTGAGGCAATATTATAGCAGCAACTAATAATGCGGTTCAGATAAGGAATAACGTCCCCGAGGCGCGATAGAATTCCCTCATATTTGTTACGGAATGGGCGATGATAAATTATCTCAAAATCAATTGGTTCAATATAACCAAAAGGCAAAAGCCTTACTTTTTTTAACGAGTGCAAAGATACTGAAGTTGTATTCACTTACATGTACAGTAGTACGTGGATCTATTTAATTTTGAAATGGATTTTACAGAACTAGCAGCGGGAAAAGTACGGTCATCAACGCCATCTTGGGGAAAGATTTACTAGCGTGTGGCATGGGGCAAATCACTAGCTGTTTTCTCACCATCGAGCAAACAGACGACAGCCCGGTACATGGTCGCCGCAGCTCGCATTTGGATTCCGAGTTGGGGTCGCACTTTATAATCAGGAGTTTGGGTGGTCAATGGTCAAGCAATGTCAAGGCAAGGGTGGCTCCCCAAAAGAAAAATGTCACAATACCTCTTGACGTAGAAGTAAGTTACATTGTTACTTTTATAATAATACGTTTATCTGCCTTTCAATCTTACAGAATGAAAATTACAACAAATTTAAACAGTTTAAACTACGGTGTATCTTTTCAAACATATCTTGCTTACAACCAGAATGAATTGATAAAGATTGCACTAAAAAAGCGGTGAGTCGTTATTGTATGATCTTTGTCAACAGGAATGCAAACGCCTCAAATATTACCACATGTTGCAGCAATCTTTCTTGATCTAACAAAGAGCAGTAAAGTAGTTTTATTGCTAAATTGTCGCCATAAATATGTAATTTCCCTATTGCCATTAGACGTGTTGGATATAGTTGCTAATGGACCACCTGTCGACAATAATAGCAAAACAATAGCAATTAGTTATACGTTATTATTTAGATCGGAAAGTTGACGTCGCTCCTGAGTATTTATGAAGCCAATTACATATTAGCGCGAACATACGTTGACAGGGTTTTTCCATTGTACGAATAAGAAAAAGGCATATGGCAGATTTTTGTTTTCTTTCTTGTTGGATATTATTTTTTAGATTCTTCACAATCTGTCGGATGCCAGTGCGTCGGATACATCACTCGATGTCTCCTTTAATATTGAGGTCTTTCTTGCAAGTTATGATCACAGATGTCCGTTGCTTTCCCAATATCTCCAAATTGTGGACTGGTATGTATTTTGTTGGGTTTTTTCTTTGCTGGAGTGTGATCAGGTTACAAATCTTGCCATGCATGGTTGACCATCGACAACTAGAATTTCTGTTTTTACTTTATCATAATAATTTGAGCGAACAATAAACGTTACTAAACAGAGATCATATGAAAGCCTACAACAATTCATTTGACTAAGCCCTTTGCCTCTATATTACATACATGTAAATGTATAAGTTTATACAGTACGTCTACATATTTATATTATATACCTTTAACAGAGCCGGACATATGTAGTGACGAAATGAGTCAAGTCATTAGCAGGACATTTGCGTGTCCTGTTAAAGATTGAACAATAGAATTACTCCCCTCTATGTACGTTTGCAGGCAGAGGAAACAATAGGTTTAATCATTAGTCATTATTTTGTTTAGTTATATGGTTCTGAATTTAGGGTTAGGGTTAGGGTAATATACCAGTTTTTATGCTGCCCGGTTAATGTACCATTTAGGGTTTTATATAGATGTCCTGTTAATACAACATGTAGGGTTATATATATTGTCATATATATCGCTGAAGAACAAAAACCGGTAGTGATGTATGTAAAATAAATAGTAAAATGGAATATAAGGATGAGAAGTACGTATGGAATGCAACTTTTGGAAAGGAAGGTTCAACGTGTTCATACAAAATCTCGATTTTTAAATGATTGACTTTATGAGGAAATGTCCGATATTATAAGGTGTTATGGCCTTATTAGAGGGCACGTTATTTTGACGCTTTAGAAACGAGTTTGAGTTAATAGATCACAGATCACAGCTGCGGAAGGAGACGTCTAGCTTTTTTAATAATGGTGTAAACAGTCAGTAAAGTTCACCTGTTTGGTGTAAAGTTTACGCCACTGATATTTTTAGTAGAAAGGATAGGTTACCCCCTCCTCACCACCCTTCTTTTAATTCGCAAACATTATACCACTTCTTGAGCGATCATTAATGTCCAATTTATAAGTGCATTATTGTACAAATTCATCCTGTTAGAAGTCTTAAAACTTTCGATTTTTACAATTTTATTCTTTACAGTCCTGGAGTTGGCTCTTGTCGAGATCTTGGTGATCGTGTGAAGTACTTCTGTGGCGATGCCGATGTACATGTTCTGATTGTCAACTCAGAATCAGGCATAACAACAGAGGTATGATTGAATTTAAATAGCTCTCCGGTCAAAACTCCTCTTCAATGGGTTCTACGACAAATGCTCCAGCCACAATCAACTTTAACCCTTAGACCAGAACTATACTGGGTATACAACATTAACTTTACCTAACCTTTACCTAAAATCCATTAAGAATCCTAATTTGTTTAAATCTTTGGAGAGCCCGAGACAATTTTCTGATAATCGGTTTGGTTTTTATTCGTATCCACTCTAAAACAGGACAAAGAGCACTTCCTGAGAGTTAAAGAGCGTCTGCCAAATCCTGACATCATCATAGGTTTCACGAAGTGGGACCGTTCAGCAAACCAGAAACCACAACAGAATAAGAGGGTTCGTAACCAACTAGGAATGCATTATTATGATAACATAAGAATAAAAGGGAAGTCCATCCTGATATAGTTGATTTTGATAACAGCATAACAATTAGAGAAACGGATTAGTGAAAGTCTGGGCAAAAGATGATTATAAATAAGTCATGAATTTTTAAGTTGTAATCAATGCAACCGAAATTGGTAACTTTGTGACCAATAGAGTTGAGAATTTGTATTTGATTGCAACTTCAAAATTTCGCAAACAGCTGATGTTAATCGGAATATCCTAAACTTTCACCGCTGTATTTCTATAATTTTTCTGCTTTTAAAATCAATTTATTACCATGGGACATCCCCTTTGATTATTGTGTAGCATTACGTGAGACAATAAACTATCATTAATTAAACTGTGTATATAACATTGTTGCAGTACCGTCTAATGATTGGGCGACTTTCAGAAGGAATTAAGATAATCCTGTGAAGATATGAATATCTATTTGTAGCATCTGTTTTTTCACAAGTTACAAAGACGGCTCAGTTAAGATGTGCGTGAGGGTGTAAGCGTGTGTGTTTTTGTGTTAGGAAGGGTAAGTGGATACATACATGAGTGAGAACATACAATGACAATGACAATTACAATTTATTCTCATGTCACCACATTGGGGTACTGGAGAATTTTACAATCAGTTTGAATTTGTCAATTTGACACTGCAAAATATACAATACAAGTCTACTTTAATGTTAATCATTACAAAATAAAACTATCCACAATAGTGAGAAAAATTATGATGATAATGATAATAATAATAATAACAATATTGATAATAATAATTAAAAACAAAACGATAATAATTAAAAACAAAACGATATTAATAATTACAACGATAATTAAAGACAAAATTAATGGAAGCGATTGAAAAAGAAAGTTACTGGCACCAGTAAATTGATATTTGAATTAATGAATTACTGAAAAAGTTCTTGATATCAATTTAATGATTCGATAAAAGACAAAAAAGAGAAACATAAAGTTAATATGAAACTCAAAACATTTTTTTTTTGCACATACATACATAACAAGTAATGAGTATGTACAAGCACGTACGCAGGGGGGGGGGGGTTAAGGCTTGAACCCCCCTTTAATTTATGTTATGTGTGTGTTTTGGAGGAAACCCCTCCCCTTTTGAGTTTTGTTCAAATTAAAAAGTAATAATAATAAAATTAAAAAAAATAAAACAATTGTGGTAATGGGTGACTCCCAAAAGCTGACCTTAATTTTCAATTTTTGGGACAAAAACAAAATAAAGTGTGCTCTAACCCCCCACCCCCCCCCCCCCCTCCCGCTTATTTAGCGGCTGGCTGAGTCGTTGCGAAATTTTTGGGACCATTTTTTTGGCGGGACTTTCAAATTTTAACCCCCCCCCCCCCCTCGAAAAAAATCCTGAGTATGTGTGGTTGTGCGCGTGTGTCACTTCAAGAACGTGACTTCCTTTTTTGATCCGATTTAAGTGTCTCGTCCTTGATGGTTCTGATTCAGCACACACATATGATATCGAAAATGCTCTTTCGGTACGTTACTCTGACCTAAAGTGTATCACATAAATTTCCAGTTGATTCAACAACATCTCTTGGTGGCATTTGAGCTGTTAAAATCAACCGGTAGTGTCTCCAACATGGAACAGGCGAGGGAGATGTGCTTCTTCATATCAGGCCAAGAGGCTCTAGACGATGCTCTCGGTGAACAAGGTGATGCTCTATTTAATATACAATGAAATTGTACTCTAAAACTATTTCGCACTATGGTATCTAGAAGGTTTTAGTATGCTAACAGACAACAGAATTTACAGTTTTGTAAAGGCCTGAATTGCTGCTATCACAATTTCTCTCCCTGTGAGTATTTCGTCATAATGAGTATTAGTAAGATCATATGCGGGGGCCGTTAATGTGCGAGACTGTGAGTAGTTGTTTCATTATCATCCCTTTTTCACTTTCCATTTGCTACATTAGGATATGTGTCTAGAATCTAGATACATTCAATTTCGTAAGTATGAGGTAACTGAGTGCTGGGTTAGCATATTCAACTACAATTACATACTTGCATTAGAGTTACATAGAATTATAATATGATCAGAGTGGCCACCTTCCTTATCGGCTTACGAAGATAATGCAAAGGAAACAACAAGCTGCCTGATTGCTACGTGAGGCCTCGCAAAGCCATCGTGTAGCCAACGTACTATAGTACGACCAGATCCAGATGGGACTACGGTGTCGGCGAATACAGCCGAAGTTAAGTAGCTCAAGCGTTTTCCATGTGTCATGGTAAACGTGGACATACAAAAAGCCAGCCTCATAGCCAGAGGCTTTTTCAAGTACCCCAAAAGTGCCCCCTCTTACATATAAATAGTGTGCCTATAACTTCGTAAGAAGTGCCTTTTTTTACATAGGGAAGGGCCCATTTACCTTCAAAAGTGCCCCTATTACTTTTCTCCCAATGATAAGGGCCCCTTTAATTTTGACACGTGCCCCCTTCACCTCTGATAATTACCCTAATCAAATTTGAGAAGTGTCCCTTTTAATTTGACAAGTGCCTCTTTTCCTTTGTAGGAAGTTCCTCTTCCCCTTTTAATATCTACCCATAATAACTCGGATAAGCGCACCTTTTATTTTCACGTGTGCCCCTTTTCCAATCTAATAAGTGCCCCTTTCCCTTATGATAAGTGTCCCCATGAACACAAAAGAGCTCCTTCCCTTCTCATAAATGCCCCCTTTTCACGTATTAAAAGTGTTCCTTTTCATTCTCATAAGCACCCCTTTTCATATCTGCTATTGCCTCTTTTCAGGAGCGATACTTGCCCCTTTTCCTTTCTAATAAGGGACCTACATGTATCCCCATTTCATGAATGTCCATTTTCAACTATTATGAATGCCTCTATGAAAATATGATGGGTGCCCCGATTCCGTCGACAAATGCACATTTACCATTTTCATAAGTGCCATTTTTAATCCCTGGTGAGTGCCTCTTTTCAGGTATAAGAAATAGGTGTTTTTATCTTTTTCGATAAGTGTCCCCATTTTTTCTCTCTCTAAAACTTGCCCCTAATTTAAAGTGACTAAGAGAAATTTCTCCCAAAGCTCGCTCGATACACTCGCTCGCATTCATAGATGATATAATTATGTTACTTTTTAGTTTTCCGTTTTGAGAATGTGAGTATAACCCCATCATGTAATTTTGGGCACTGCGACCTCACAAATTGTCCTCGCTTGCATATGAATATTCAGACCATCACACCCAACAGCAAAGTATGATGCTTAAACAATTTGTTTCATGATGTATATACAGAAATATATATTGAAAGCATCCCAGTTAATGTAACCACAAGGGTATATACCAAAGTCTAACGAATTGTATATTTTAGCTTTGAGATTTCCCTTTGTAGGAGCCCTTTTTTTGTTGGTCCCGTCCCCCACTTTAGAAATCGCTCCTACATCTGCTCTGAGCATCATTAATCGCCGATCAGCAATTGAATTTCCCACCGTTGGTCGAATGTCTTATACCATCGGGAGGTCACGTGACGCCTTCATGACCTAGTTGGAACGCATCGTACTCTCAATACGACGTCGTGTAGCCATCGTATGGCCTTCGTGTGACCTGCGGGTAAACTCCTCAATACAAATTCACATCTTCGTGCTGCATTCGTGTGTGGTTCGGGCGCCATCGTGTGACCTTCTGTACGCATCGTACTTCCTTCCGCTGTTGATTGGCTATTGACCAATGTCGGGGCCATCTTCGTGCGAAATCCAAAATGACATATTCTTGTGTCCATCGATCTGGCGTGAACTTTGGGACAGCGTGATCCGGGCATATACGATAGCAAGTGCGATAGCTAGCTCAATATAAAATCATGTTAACTCTCGCGACGCCGTGCGTTGATTTCAGTAATTACTGAAATGAAAAGCTAGTCGTAAGCGCGCAGGGTAATTCTGCAACTTACTGCAGCTCGTCGATCACGATTCACAAATGTATTTTATTCGTTTTGGAGCTGAGCCAAGGGGGCGAGTCTGAACCAGGCGCACCGGGAGCAGTTTCAGATGGGGGGGGGGGGGGGAATTCCAGGGGGCTCACCTACCAGGGGCAGTGACGTAATGAGCGAAAACTTTTTTTTTTTTTTTTTTTTTTTTTTGGGGGGGGGGGGGTTGGCAGAAGGAAAGCTGCATCACCTCCACTCTTACATGTTACATGCAGGCCCCGCGAAACGTTTTTTAAAGTGCAGTATTAACGATCAGGTAATTGGCGTGGGGCCCAGGGGCATTGCCCCGGAAGCTCAGGGTTTAGGGCATTAAATTACGGTCAGATGAGCATCCAGGTGCCCGCCTTCGGGCTCTAGGTGTGGTCCAGGGGGGGGGGGGCAAAGCCCTCGGAAACTCAGGGGTTATTGGTATTTAATTACGGTCAGATGAGCATCCAGGGGCCGCTTTAGTGGGGGGAGGGGCGTTTTTTTTTTTTTATCTTAAAAGCCTTGAGATTTATGAAGTTTCGATGTGATGAGCATAGCAAAATATGGCATTGCTAATACTAGGCCGCGTCATACCAAAAGACGTTAAAAGATGGGAGTTGTTGCTACCTTGTTAGGCGTTCAACAATAAGGGATAGAGCAACGTCGATCTGGCGCTGCTCAGTGGCTGCCGGGCTCACGATCAATTGGGCAAAAAGAATTTCCGTTTCGGTTTAATAAAATTTGGAGTGGACTATTAGGCTATTATTATTATTATTAGTGAATTCCAGCCGGGAGTAAGGGTGCTGAACATTAATCCTCAATTAGACTACGACACTATGAAATCAAGTGTATAGGATTATGAGGGGTAATTGCTAACTGACATGTTAGGTGACAACTGACTGTAGTGAATCACTTCATCAGGTAACGACGTAAAATATTTTGTCCTCATGCTCTTATTTGTTAACTGTTCATGGTGCCTTTAGAGATTCCTAATTGAGGGAATGGTGTGAACGACAAAGATAAACAAACACAATGTTCCTTTCTTTTATACAGTGAAATATGTTAAGGGTCAACCAGAGAGGGAGCAAGCGTTTCACGACTTCGTGAGAAAGATCAAGGTATGAAAAGTCAAATCGTTCAATCAAGTACATACATTAAATAAAATATATATTCCTCTATTATCAACGCAATTATCTATGATTTCGAGACATCCAACGAAGACAGTTTTGATCAAGACTACACTCAAAACATGAACATAAAGGTTTAATAATCAATTGTGATTCTACATTTGCATGTTGATCATTGAATTAAAAGTTGGTAAACGTTGTATACTTATTTAACACTTTCCCCAAGTTGGAGACCACGGTATATCAATGATATTTCGTTATTTCATTTGCACAATGGTTCCGACTCGTTTACACCACTAGGGGTGGTCTTATATGGATGATCGAGGATGATGCTCTGTATTGGGTAAAATCCCCCCCCCCCCTAGCAAACAGCTAGATCCGCCCCTGGGTAAAGGCCTAAAGTAAAGAAAGAATGTGAAGGTTGCTCCAAATAATGAGGAGAAAATAATGTGCAGAACGGGAAGAAATAATAATAATAATAATACACAATATTTATAAGGCGCCTAATACTGGTGTCTCTAAGCGCACCATATTCTGACTAAACAATTATTTACCAAAAATTATAATAAACACACAACTTATACATCTATTCTTTATTCAATAAATCGAGAGAATGTCATCACGAGATGAAAGTCAGTAACAGCTATGTAACTTGTAAATTTGTAAGAGGGAAAATGCTGTTAGCAAATAGTTGAGAAGTATCATGGGTACCAATTCAATGGAAATTTGTATTTAAAAAATTAGCCCCCGTCAGCACTAAAAGAGCCCACGCGGACAAAAAACTAATTTGAGCCCTGATCCAGAATACATAAGCGATTGCCTGGTTTTTCTTTCTCAGGTCCGTCATACACGCTCGGTTTCGTCTGTCTGGCAAATTTAATGTCGTTTTTTTAAGAAGCGTGCCGGCAAAATATGTTTTCTATCAGTTGCAGCAAGGTTGTGAAACCGGCTACCTGCTATTTAGAAGACTGCTTAATATTTAGATATTGGTTGTTCCAGATTTCGAGAAACTTCTCAAGTCTCCTTTTTAAAATAAATGTTATTGATTTATTAGCTCTTGGATGATTTCGATTACGTCACATGTGAGTATGGTATTATGACTCTTCCCCTGCTCAATATCCTTAGGAGCAAGCCTCTATAGCAGGTAAGAAAGCCAAGTTGGAGGGCAACCACCAGGCCTGCCAGAATATCTTGAGATCTTGTTTGCACAACATTTGCTCACTCAAGGAATGGATCTGTCACAGAAGGTAGGAACAGAAAGCTTAAATTGGAAGGTTGATTTCTGGCCAAGATGATTAGTTTAGAAGAAAATTATATAATACTTTTTCCTTAAAACGGGCAATAGGATTGCCCTCCGATTTTCTTATTTTTAGACTATTACGAAAACTTACGAAAGAACCATAAAAAAGGCTCCAGAAAAAGGACAAGTAAGAATTAAAAACGATTATACTCTTGAATCATTTCATAAAATCTTAATCAAAATGATTTGCATTTTTTATTTAAGTTTTACATCCTATGCATGCTATCTATATAACCGTTTGCTCCTCTTAAGTGTTGGGAGCCCTAAATTCGCCCAAAATTTCACTTAAATTGTATTATAATGTGAAAGATGACACATTTCTGCAAGGATTTTCAAAACAAATGTGCGAACGACAGAAAATCCATATTGTGTATTCTCTTATCAATATTTGTCTTTAAAGAGACTTGGTAACATTGTTCAGATGAGAGATAGTGGTGCTAAGGTAATGGCTTCAATGCTACATGTAAAATTAAAGATAATCTGGAAATTTGAATGAAAAACGGACCATTATTCATGGTACAAATTGAGACAAACTTATCTGATCGATTCCTTAATTCTCCCAACTATATTATCGTCGGCCTTATTCCCGAAAGGGCCTTAACCCGATTTCGGGGGTTATTGAGTTATTAACATCACCTCGTCGATTTCATTATTCTCTTTAAAATGATGTGCTTCACTTGTTGAAATTCGATTAATTTATGGAGATAATTATGAATTATGAATTTCTCATCTTTTTCCTTAAGCCAAAAGGGCCTTAACCTCACGGCAATTTTTTATTTTTTTATTTTTTTTATCAATGACAGATTGTTTCGTAATTTCCATTTAATTCAAAAAATATCAGTCGAAACACCATAAAAAAAAACATAATTAGTCTACAATAGACACAATGTACTTAGAATAATCACTGAAGTATATGTCATGAATTTAGATCGTGAATTCTGAGGGAGATTTAAGTTAGATGTGGATGCACGAAATGCAACTGACTCATGAAATACGCAGATGTCAACGGATGGGACTGTAATGAAAATAAACAACGAAAAAGGTGTCCTAAATGTACGATCTCTTAAAAATAACCTCACCGAAAGCTGCATTATATTAATAAAAATATTCAGATATCAAAAATACCTTTTCTAATATTGTAATTAATCAGTTTTATCAGTTTTCGTGATCCAGTAGCCATAGCAGGGGCTTTCTGGCAAACCAAAGGTGTTGCAAAACGAGAAAATGTCTTTATGCCAGACGGGCGCTAACTACGCGCGCGTACGATAACCGCAGGTTAATGCCCTTTTGGCAGAACGCCGCGTGGGTAACGCTGGAGGTTACGGCCTTTTTGGCATAATGCAGCGTAGGTACGGCCCTTCTGGCATAAATACGCTACTCTCAAGCATTATGCCAAAAAGCCCCTTACATGTTTTTTGCACATAGCATGAAAACTATAAAACAAATTTAACACTTTCATGTAAAACTTAATAACTTAACATATTTATCGAAATTGACTTCAGAAACAAAAAAAAACGACCACAAACTTTTGATTATTACTAACAGAGACCAACATTTCAAACGCGATTATCTCGGAATGGCCAAAAGCAGTCAAGCCCGTTTGGCATAAGGCCGACTTTATTACAATTTAATTACATTTTAGGTGAATGGAAATCATCACAAAGCATTAAAATGGCGCTACATTCCATTCCAGACATTTAAGTGTTGACAGATTTTTTATAGCCTGTTTTATGTCTTTTTTTTTAATGGAAAAACGGTTGGAAAAATTCAAAAATTGTTTGGAGAATCTATTGTTAATCACTGTTAGAGGGTGTCATACATCGACTCCTTCAAAGAAAACCATAGATATCTTCGTGGTTTGATTATTTTTTCAGGATGTTGTGCATGTCAGAGGGTTAGTACAGTATAAGGAATATAGTAAGTAACATTTTACAAAAATTAAGCAATTTTTGTCGTCAACCTTCAACAATGTCACCAAGTCACTTTAAACACATTTTTTGGGGAAAAAAAAATCAAAAATCTTTGCAGAAGGGTGTTAAGAATGACATCTTTTTCCACATTATGATACTATTTTAGTGAAATTTTGCCATCAAGTTGTTATCGACTTTAGGGCTCCCAACATTTTAAAGACCGTCACCACTACTGGGCAAGAAGGGATTAGACCACACAGCGAGCCATCGAGGTCACTGTGACAGGTGGCTATCTCATTAACTCAGCTCTCATTTAACATAAGAAAAAGAGGATCATGGGGGACCAACAGGCACCGATTGGGAAAGTTTTCTATATAGAGGGAGCAAGTAGCTACAAGTATGGCAGTGTGCCTTTAAGGAGCTTTAATATGTTAGGCCCTGCTTTTGTAAGTTCATCGTCCTGGGCCATATCTGCTACGCTGGTATATATTTTCTGATGTGACATATTTGTACTACTAAGACTTTTAATTCCCTTCTTTTTCTAAATTTATTTATCAAAGCAACGACCTGGTTGTTGAGTCAGAGACGATCAAAGAATCTTTGCGAAGAATCGACATTAAACTTGAAGAGTACTGGAGGGAAAGCAAGAAACAAAGAGAAAAGGCTCTCACTGAAGTTGAAGAAGAGGTAATATTTTGCCTCAACCCAGCTTCCCAGAACATAGTACAAGCAAATACTTGGGAAAAAAGTGAACAACGCACAGTGAATATAAAGCCCTCAACGTTTAAGGCGAGGCAGTATGTACAAAAGGCACGAGGAAAATCATGCAAACTAAACTTCCTGTAAATTAATGTTGTGGGTCAATGTCGTCAAAATCCTTAAAGGACAAGTCCACTCGAAAAATAACCTATTTTCAATATAAGCAAAAAAATCAGACAAACCAATCAAAAAAAGTTTGAGAAAAATCGGATAACTAATAAGAAAGTTATGAATTTTTGAAGAAAAAAATTAGTATGTAAAACTATGGAACAATAAGAATCACAACACAAATTGCCAAGATGGTTATCAGTTTGTGACGTACGTCATGTCCTCACTATTTATCGATTGCTCTATATGGTTTAATCCCATTAGTTTCCCTTTTATTCCCCAAAACTTGATTTCCCCATGCCTTTGCCCAGGTTATATGATTTGGATCATATTTCGTGCATGACATTTCACAAAATCTTTTATGAACTTTGAAGAATTTATACCATTTTCTGAATATTGTATATTCATAATTATTGATTTTTATATAAATAGTTTATCAAAAGTCACTTTTTCATGATTTAACCGGGAAAAATTATTCTATATTAGTGCATCCAAACAAAAACATATTACTATTGAAAGGATCCGCTAACTTTGTCTCAGATTCTGAAACAAAATTCTGGATTTAGCTCATCCTGCAATGATAATTATAAACCCCATAAACTTTACAAGTCGATCGCCTGTTTGATTATCAAGCTATTTATAATTGGAATTACACATTTTGAAAACCGTTTGCCAAACGGTTTTCAAAACATTACAGGCTATTGGGGGAAACGAGTATGGTAAAACCGGTTACTCAAAGATTTTTACTTTTTTGAGGCACTTCTTGATCATTTTGAAGCGCGATTTTTTTAGGGCTTCAATATTACACCGTATCACAGACACTGATAACATGTAGGGCCGTGTATCTTAAATTTAACATTGTTAAATGATCCCTTTAATATAACTTGGATGCTGGTGTGAAGAAATAAGATTCTTAAGGAGAAAATAGGAAATTTATATCATTAATATAAAAAAAATAATTAGTGGATAGTGAGGACATGACGTCACAGACTCATAAGTGAGCTGCCAATATGTCTAGTGATTTTCAAAGTCTTTAATGTCATTAAATATTCATAACTTTCTTATTAATTATCCGATTTTGCTCAGACTTTTTTTGATTGGTTAGTCTGATTTGTCTGCTTCTATTTAAAGTAAGTTATTTTTGGAGTGGACTTAGGCTTTAAAGATGTATTCACCTAAAGATATTTTCCAAATGGTAAACATTTGAAATAAATATATTATCCACAGCATTAAATTGTTTTAAATTTAAACAGCATATCAACGTAAGCTGCTCTGGACAAGGATTTGAAGCAAGCAGAAAATAAGAAGTTAAGGCTCCGCTCAAGGCTTTCGGTATCGTGTTAAAGTGTAAAATTAGAGTCTAAGCTTGCAAGAGTTTGATTTCCTTTATTCTGGAACCTGTTTGTATTTTTTTTTCTTTCAAATGTTTCATCAGTTGATGGATTGCATGGGTAATGTCATTAGAAAGATGAGGACAGCTCTAGCCAACGAGACGAAAAGCATGAAGGCTTTTAACAGCGATTTCTACGAACACGGAGTGGTAAGTAAACAGTTAGCACACCTGAAAAGTGTATATAAACATTAATATATTTAATATGATTATCATTATTATTATTAGATTTATTATTATTATTGATTATTTTGTTATCATTACTATTAATATCATTTTTGTTTCAACAAATTCTTCGTCACATGGACAGAGCCGTACAAATAGGACGGGTCAAGATTATTTAAAAAAAGCAGGCACGGGAATGTATTCGTAGGCGTACATGTACATGTATATTAATCGGTTATTTTATGTCAATCAATGCAATGTCTGTTTTAATTTATTCTATTTTGGGTTTAGACCGTTGTGCATGACTGGTACGCAAATATCATCAAGTCTTGTCAACGCACCACGAGAATGGTCTGTGAAGAATACTCTCGAGATCTCCTCGGTAAGAATAATAACCCATAATAATAATAATAATAATAATAATAATAATAGTAATAATAATAATAATAATAATAATAATAATAGGTATTTGTATAACGCCGTCTATCTAGACAATGCTATTCCAAGGCGCACAAGAAAAATAGAAAGAATGAGAAACTTCGGATGAGTGTCATAGTGCCAAGTACAGGTATTGTTAAAAAAAGACAAGATTTCAGATTGGATTTAAAGGTCTCTAAGGAAGTTATGATTCTCACATTAAATGGTAAATTGTTTCAAAGACAAGGTGCTGCAGATGAAAAAGCTTTCACCACAGGCTACTCGTGTCTTTGTGATCTTAAGGAGATGCTGGTGTGATGATCTTAGACTACGAGATGGTGTATAAGGCATGACAAGGTTTTGTAAATAGTTTGGTGCTAATCCGTTTACAGCCTTCCATGTGAGGAGAAGAATTTGTAATTATATGTGCTTGCGGATTGGCAACCAGTGCAACTTTTTGAGAACAGCAGAAATTAGATCATATTTAGATTTCCCTGATAAAACCCTGGCAGCTGCATTCTAAGCATGTTGAAGTTTGTCAAGATTGCGTGAAGTAATATTGAAAAGAAGAGCATTCCCAATATCTAATCGAGATTTTAAAAAAATGCATGTATGAGCATAACAGCCGACTTATGGTCAAGGACTTTTCGAATGCTATTAACATTATGGATGCTATAATTGACAGATCTTCTTTACGTGGGCATCCATGCACATGTTCTCGTCAAATATAACACCGAGATTTCGAATTGACGGAGCAGCCCGAATGTGGGAGTTACCAATCTGTATATTACAGTCCTTGTTTAAATGATGTTGCGACTTAGAAGTAACTATAAGCAACTCTGTAATTTTAACTTATTAATAAACATCCATGACCTCATATCTTCTATAGTAGCCTGTAGACGATGCTTGGCAGAAATTTCACTTGCAGGGTCGGATGGGTCGAATGAAACGAACAGTTGTGTATCATCTGCATACAAATGAATGCTTACGCCATTTTTATGAGCATTTTTTGCAAGAGGACTAGAATAACTACTAAAAAACAGTGGCCCGATAACTGACCCTTGCGGCACACCAAATGGAATCTTAACGGGAGATGACAAAGTTTCACCGATTTTAACAACTTGTGATCTTTTATCAAGATATGATGCTATCCAGTCGAGCCGAGCACAACCCCTCCTATGCCAAAAGACTTGAAACGATTCAGTAACAATTCATGGTCAACAGTGTCAAAGGCTGATAAAAGATCAAGCAATACGTAAACAGCCTTCTTGTTATCAACAGCACGAATAATATCATTTTATTCTCGGACAAGAACAGTTTTTACCCCATGGCCCTTCCTATATGCAGATTGGAAAGGTTCAAACAATGTATTATCTGAGAAGTGGTCAGTAAGACGCACTGCCACAGCCTTTTCCAATATCTTTGATATGAACTTTAAGTTTGAAACAGGTCTGTAGTTTTTTAATTAATCTACGTCTAGTGATGATTTTTCAGGTGAGGAGTGACAATTGCCTGTTTGAAATCATAAGGAAACTGACCAGTCTCAAGATAAATGTTGACAATTTTTGTGATAACTGGCAGCAACAAATTCAATTGTTTCTTGAGTAAAATAGTTGGGATTGGATCTAATGAACATGACTTTGTAGGTGAGGAGGAGACAATTCTCTTGATCTCTTCATCTGTGGCCATTTCAAAATTTTCCATTAGTGGAATGTCTGGTTTGGAAACGTGGTGTTCTTCAAGTTCAAACCTACCGGATGTAGCGGCCTGCACAGAGTCTATCTCATCCTGGATAGTGGATATTTTCGACACAAAGAAGTTACTAAACCTCTGTACTAGGTCTACTGGGGATATATGTACAGGCAATTTAGGTTAACTCTTTTGATGTAGAGCACTGTCAATAACTCTATAAAACTGTCTACTATCATTGCAATTTGACAGCTGCTCCTTTAAGTATTCTGTTTTGGAATATTTTATCATCTGCCAAACACGGGATCGCTGCTCTGTAAAAAGTTTTCTATTTATGTCTGTTTTTTCAGCTCGCCATCGACGCTCAAGGCGTTTACGTACGCGTTTCGAGGGCGTATGGTTACCATACCCTTCGTCAGAGGAACATGTTTGTCTAGAATACACTGAAGACTTGTATCAAATTGATTAACTAGAGTATTAACCCATCGCGGAATCAGAGGTAAAGGTGTAAGTGGGTCGTAATTATTGATCAACCTGTAAGACCCTTTATATTGAACACTTAACTTCTCAGAAGATATACATTTAAAAAAGATGATAATCATATTGCCACATTCATTTCTTAATAGTAATTGAGAACCTTCTTATTTTCTTTCCTTTCGGGTTATATCGAATTCAAAATAGCCACATACAAGAAATGCTTCCAGGAGTTTCCTCACATACACCCGACGGCTTTCATTGAGGCGTTGCATGAAGAAATATTTCCACTGGACCAAGACAGCAACGAGAACAAAGTACCATCACAGAAAAGAGTAGATCACCTGCTTCGGGGGGTCACCGACAAAGGGCTAATTGCAATGTTTGCAACTACAAGAAAGCATGCTGAGGATGGTAATGAATAAACATGGACTGAATATATATATATATATATATATATATATATATATTGAATCGCTTCACCTATACACGTGTCAACATTGTTTTTCTATGAATATTATAGCATTTTTAGTCTTTTTAATCTAACTGCTCACCCACAATAAGAGCAATATTTATATTGATGTGGCTACCCTGGTTTAATGAGACAAAATTATTGTTATCATCATTTTTTATATATATATTTTTTTTTTATAGTAGTTGTTATTTTTGTTGTTTTGAATAACTCCGTTGCAGAACATCACTTTTTTTTCTCTCTCTCTCTCTCTCTCCTTATATTTGTATATATATTACGTGTGCATTCATATGTGGGCGAGGGTGTTTGTGCGCGTGCGCGTGTGTTAGTGTGTTTTGGTAGAATATTGAATTTAAAGGTTTAGTCAAAAGTTGTCGTGATCATGTCATTTTAGGTCTCATATTTGCCATATGACAATGATTAAACGTGATTACATAATGTATTTCAGTAATCTTTAGAAGCCTGAAAATGCTTTCGGTAATGGTATACGGAATATTCCATTGGTGTTTCGACAGTTCAGTGTCACGGCGGCAGTGGCTCTGGGCTTTATTTCTTCAAAAGTACAGGGTTAGGGTATGGATTGGTATCGGCAATTGAGTTCGATTTAGCGTGAGGGTATTGAGTCATGTGTTAAGTCAAGAGTTGATGTTAGGAATTTCATTAGTTATAGAAAGTTAGCATGCATGAGAATAAAACGCACATCATACAATATTGAATATTTAAAAAAAAAATGATGTCAGCCTGTCATAACGCGACGATTTCTAATCTCCAATCGTTCAAACTGTAGCCATCTTTTGTTCTTCTCATAGTCGATGTTCAGAATTCATCCAGTCGAAAGGAGTCTCAGCGAATGGCGGCAGGAGCAAGCATTCTGTTCCTTCGAATTCGCCGATGGCTAATGGCAGCAGTGGATAGCCAGCTTCTGGACAAGTTTGAGGTTGAGAGAATGGAAGGTCTCGATGAAATCAAACAGTCCTGCAAAACTGATGTCGAACAGTAAGCTACCGGTTCTTGATTAATTAATGCTGTACAAAATAAGGCTTACAATTAAAGATGGTAACAAAAATTCAAAATTACTGGCGAAGAATCAATTAAATTTGATATTTCTAAGTCCCTACAAGATTTGTACAATAGTACATGCTACAGACTTGAAATATAGATATATCAGAATTAAGATCTCCGTCATATTAACACGTACGTATCCAGTGTAACAAGCATGAAACGAAGTCCAACTTTCACAAAAACGGTCATGCCTTATGGTTTGAATGTGCATTGTTCGTTAAAAGTAAACCATACAACGATTTAAAAACAAATCACTTTATTCGAGAAAATTCTAAAACAATCAGACTCGTCAATTTAATTGAAATAAGTTTAGTTATTATACTTTCAATCCAAGTGATATGGGGGGAGAATTTTATATAAAACAGTAGTCCATTTTGTACAGTTTCCAAGATCAATTCCACTTCCGTAAGAGACCCTGGGATAAACTTTCGAACAATATTGCGAAAATCTGTATTCCTTTCATATTAAAGGCCATTGAGAGCAGGAATAGCATTGTAATAACTGCTTGATTCGGGTAAAGATAATGCACAATGTTTGACAATGTTGAAGGGGTAAATAAAGATTACACATTAGAACAAGTAGGTTTGTAGTGAATTATTCAAAATTTAAATCATTGTCAGATTCTGTGATATGACGGACGTTTACTACGACAACCACATTACCAATGCCCTTAGACTGCCATACCGAAATGAGTCAGACGAACGGAAGCAAGGACTTCAGGATTTGCACAACCTTGGACATCTCGTCATTGACTACAGGTAAACACAACTTTGTTTCACAAGTTGACTCGCCCTAGACCAGATTCGTGTTATGTGTTTGCCCTTTGCAAGCTTTATGAGTCAGTGCAAGAAGTCACTGGCTAGTAACTTCTTGGTCAGTGCGCGCGCGCTGGCCCTACGTATTCACCACTCCCCCTAATTGTACCAAATACGTTTAAATATAATTTACATGCATGTTTATGTTCATCTTGTGTGTGATGGGGGGGGGGGGGCTTTTATAGTCGTTATCATAAATTCAAAACAGCCGTCGACTAGATTTGACCTAGATAGATTATCCGTGTTCTTCAAGAAGGAAAATAGACGACATGATTAATCACGAAACGGTCTGAACAGATATGGTAGCGTCATGAACAACATCCGCTAGGGAGTTTACCATAATGTTTTTTTTGTAATTGTTTTATTATTCCTCCACATACTTCTGCACGTGAATTTTCGTACACTTGGGTTCATAGTTTATTTTACCTGACTGCTAAGAAAGCAGACGTATAATGGTAAGTAAGCAGCCAGGAGACAAACGGCTTTAATTTATGCCTCAGTCACACCTTGCGTATTTGGCTTGCGTATTGCTGCGTATTTATGGCAAGCCGTTTTAACATTTATTCCTATTTCTTGATATCAAGAAATAATTTTCTGTTGTAAAGCAATGGTAATTTTTGATATCAATAAATAGGAACAAATGTTGAAACGGCTTGCCATAAATACGCAGTAATACGCATGTCAAATGCGGCAAAGGTGTGACTGAGGCATAAGTTCTCTCCGAGGGACTTGGTAATGAAGATTACTGCCTTACCAAATGGTACTGGCGCATAGACTTGGTTCGAACTCTGCTCTACCAGTGAGCCATTTTTTTTAATACATGATAACCTTAAAACTCCAGCATATGATCATCCCAAGCTCAAATAACTACACCATGCACGAAGAGTACGTGTGAGATTGAAGGTCTTACATCTGTGTGATAGTTCGTCAAAATATCAGAACCGGTCGGTACCCCCTACCAAGAAATGACATTCGCTCTTTTTACTGATTCTCAGCGATGACGCCATGATTAATAACTGCTCTGTATCATTGGTCTGTCTGTCTTAAAACTGTAACTTGTGTCTTGCGTGATATACTAGCTTCTTACAGAAGATGCACGATTGTAGAGGTCAACATATATCATTGTAATTATTGTAATGGCGGAGTGTCAGTATTGCGAATCGCCAACAGGCTGTAAACTCGTGTGATGCCCCAAGGGTCCGCCATCGGATAGTATTGAAGTGATTATAAGACCAACGTTGTGTAGGATTAGTGATGCGCAGGACAATTATTTGGTGTCATCATAGATAAGACTATGGGTTCTAAATGAATTTGTCAGGCGGGCCGGAAATGTTTCTGAAATTACGTTGCGGGCTTACAAATACATTTACATAGCAGCGGCCAATCTTTTCAAAATACCACTCCCCTCCCATTTGATATTATTATCATGAATAGTCGTGTTTGGATGCAATCACCATTGCTATTGAGTAATGTACTTTTATGTAGCTATAGGAGAATTACTAGTAGCCAATGGTGATGAATTATGTATTCTTAATGGTGGAAACAATGGTTTTGATTTGATTTTACTTGATATTTACTTAAATCATCTCGTGGGCCGCTGTTTGATCGACGATGACTTTCAACTCAATACTTATCTCTCCCTTTCTTTTCAGGCAAGAGGCAGAAGAAATCATGGGGAAATGTGGGCTGGAGCACTCCGTGGGATATGATACAGTCATTTCGAAAACAAAATAGCCATGAACCTCCCACCAATTGCAACAATTTAAACTGTTTAAATTTGTATATGCACCTAATAACATGTAAATAGTTCTAAACATGTTGTGGTCAGGGAATTGTGACGTAGCCATGGGACAACTTTTCTGTTTGTGGTGTACACAAATGTAAAAGTGCCTTTTCCCTTTAGGCACTACTCAAAATATATTACGAATTGTATATTAATATAGGTTCTCTAAAAAGAAAATAACATCTTGAATCATATATTTTGACAAATTAACATTTTAATCATTTCCTTATAATTATCCTAATTTAAGTGCCCATAGGTATAGTAATTATAACTTTCATATTCATGACTGTATTATTTTGTGTCAGATATAGTTCAAACTTTCCCCATTCTGCATCTCGGATTCCTTGCTTTCTTTTAAAGTAGATGTCTATTAAGGTTGATTGACATGTACACTGTGAGGTTTTCTTATGTATCACAACAGCTTGGTGTTAATTTGTTTAGCTATTTCTCATTATATATCGAATATGAGGGAATCTGAAGAGTAATCTTTTTTTTTTTCAAGGGAATTTTCTGATCTGGTAGTCTTTCCAAAGAATATAGAGAGAATGAAAACATCACAATTTCATTTTCATCAGTACCAGAATATTATCTTATCTTTAAGTTCGTGAATGTTGTATCATTTGCCTTATTTTCCTGACGCATGTCAGGTAGACTTTGTAAATACATCGCATTTTATAAATTCCATATGCATTTGAGCGCTTGGTGGATAACAAAAGTCAATAGACTTCATCGGGTCGTCCAAGTATTTGTTCCCCTTTTAAATACAATATTATTGTTTGGGAATTAACAATAACTTTTATTTTGAGAATGAACAATGTACATGAATAAACTAAAATGCGACTCGGTACTATATACACATGTTTCACTAATAGATACACCCCAAAAATATCTTGATTTCTATAATAGCAAAGTGGGATTTCCTTTACTTTACATTTACAAAATGAGAAGATCATGATAAAGTCAATGTTTAGTACTTGCATTGAATCTTCATAACAAGAAATCATATTTGAAAATGATTGTAAATATGTAATAGTGATACCATATTATGTTGAGCCACAGTTTTGAAGGACCACATGTTCATATACGGTATAGCGCTTACAGTGCATTTTTGTGCTTTTCATTTGAAATAATGTAATACATTGAGTGCTATACTAATTCCATATCATTACCAGTATTGTTGTCTTTATGACAGAAAAACTAAATGTATGGAAGTGATATAAGTTTTGAATTTTCATTTCACAATGTTTACATCACATATTTGTAATTTTATATAGGTAAATTTATCATTTTCGATTACTTCTTTTCCATTACTGTTATTTTCAATTACAAATATCATAAACTACATATCTAAGTATGTAAATATATATCTTTAAGAACTACATATCTATATCTATGTCATGTAAGAGGAAGTTACAGACACCATTGCTATCTAGTGGTGTATTATATTGTATATGAACGGAAAGACGTCTTTCATTTTTGTAAAAAAATGTCGGTAATGGTTTCAACAATTGTTATTCATAACTGTGTCCTGTACGATAAAAATGAGCGTGTAATAAATCTACTTATTTTGACCGAGGGAATTTGCATAACTCATTACAATATCAATGACTTATGATTTTAGTTGCCAACATTTACAAAAAGGTATATGCAAACGGTTTTATCTTCCCATAGAGTTTTGTTGAATCGTTGAATTAATGTAAAGTTTACTCAATTGTAGCAAAATAAAATGTATATGATTTTTGTTCATGAGGTAATCGGAATGCATTGAAATTGATAGGTATATTAAATACTGTTTATTAGGTTAATAAAACCATTGTAACTCTGATTATGCAAATGTATGTCGTATTCAAATTATATCGTAAAATGATAAAAAGCTAATACCAGCATGACTGATACGTTAGTAGTTATTGCTTAAGTAATTTTCATACGTAAGTGCATACTTTTCAATAGATTACATTGAATATGTCTACTATATCGATTATATTGTGAGGTTTGGGTTACATGGTATTTTACATTTTACATTAAAAATAGCTTCTAGTACAGTTTTACATACAGTTGCATTATATCTCATAGGTCTGCTAAACCTGAAATAAAGACATACTTTTAAAATGGTAGTATCTTCATGAATGTTATTTTGAATACAATCAATTAATCAATAAAACAACATCTTAAATGCAAGTATAAATGGATTTTACCTCAACAATAAAATGAGTTGATCGAAAAGCCAAGCATTCTATTTCTCTTCTCAGCCTTTGCTTGAAAGCATTATAATGAAAATCGAGAAATCAATATATTCACACTTATGACCAACAAAATAATATTCATTTTAATTAACGTATAGAATAGATGTCAGTCCAGCATAATTATATTCGAAGTTTCCTTTTATTTTTAAATATTGGTTCATGACTATTCCTGTATCTTTTGTAAATATATTTTGTTAACATCACTTTATTGTTCGAACTTGCACAACAAGGGAGAAGACACGATAGCCCAGGACAATTCCATTTTACTGGAAATTGCAGGGCATTAAAAGTACATACAGTGTATAATGTTATATAACATCGACAAAACAAAAATTAACTAATTTTACAACATAGTGAAGACTGAGGAATTTGGGATATTCCTAGCTATAGATGAAAGAAGAGGAGCTAAATATTGAAATTTTATTTGATATATCAACTTAATAAATAGGAAGCATACATAATAAGTATTATAAGAGTTTTATTTGAGTTAATGTTTAATACAAAGAGGATTTTGTCAGTGCCATCAGGCAATGAAAAGAGGCGAGTAATAGAAGGAAAATATAAGACTGGTTACAAGGTGTATTAACCAATTTGTGTGTGAGTAATTAATCCCTAACATACTTGAAATGCGAAGGGAAATTCTGGTTTCCCATTAATTGGCATTCTATGAGTAGTAGATGACAAACGTAGAAACAATAGATAGTTTGGATAGATTCTGTCGAACTTGTTTCAAATTGACAGGTTTTCTAATTTCTTTCAACAGCTGCCTTTAGCCTCGTCACATTGTCTGGCGAAATATGACCTCTAGAGCCGATTTTCAAAGGAAGATACACCACATAATATCCATAAGCCTGTATATCGGCAACTAACGGGGCATATTTGTTCGATTTATATTTATGTGCCTTTACTTCATTCATTTCAAAGGGAACTCAAGTATAAGGATTTTTTTAAGTTCTTCCAAAAAACACAAATGTCTGGGACGAGGTTGGTCTGGGTACACTCTATATAGTGGGATTGGAGATGCCCTTTTTTGTCCATCGCTCTACTTTCAGGTCTGTGTACATAATAGTGTCGCTAAGAGAGGCTGTGCCTTCTTGAATAATTTCGGCAAGATACAAAAGTATGTTGTTATGGCGCCAAGTATAGCGTCCCTCGTCAAGTGACACAGGGCATGCGTTCAATACATGGTGTACTGTTTCTCTTTTTTACACATTTTTTACAGTTTGCTGATGCCCTTTTACCCCATCAAGTAAGGTTTGCGTTCGTATTAAGTGTATCTGAAAACAAATTCATGAGAAACTTTGCAACTTTGTTGGGTAGGTTGTATATAAGGCTTTTCCAGTCTCCTGATTTTGATTCCAAGTTTGCAAGCTCAAAAAACTTGCCTTGGACTGAAAGTTTGACTGAAAGTCTTGTGACCTTGTTTGTACCAGATAGTCTTTAACCTGTTTTTTTAATTTTGGAAGAGTGGCATTAGGGTCTTGAAGCGATTGAAAGAAACATTATGGCTATTCACCACTGTTGACTTTTTTCTGGTCCACTGAGATTCTCTAGCAATGATAAACCTTAGCATCACCAGTTACTCTTATTCTTGTGTAGTTTATTGTGTGAATTTCATAGTACAGATCAGAAATGTTGAGTATGTTCAGACATTCTGGCATAATTATGAAGGAAGGCCAACGTGGCCGGTCTGGCAAGGCCGGACCATTTTTCAAGTATCTATTGCATAAAGCATCTAGTATTTTTAGATGAGTATCAGTGAGCTCATTGACTGTGAGGTGGAATCTCAGTGGTGGCAGAAAATAGTCAGCAAATACTTTCAGTTTGAATTCATTACGTACCAGAGCTTTATCAATATTTGTAACACCGACTTCAATCATTGATTTTACATACTGATATTTATCATCTGATGAGTTGTCATATGATACAAGTGAACCTAGAAGTTTGAACTCTTCCGTTTTAAGGGTTTTAAATTCGATATTATATAAATGAAATTTCAAGTCAGTTGGTGAACCTCCAGATATTGAAAGGGTTCTACATTTTCTCTGTTTCAATTTTAAGCCAAGCGAGGAAGTTCGACTAGAAATTGTATTCATGAGTCGTTGATGGGTTCTCTTATTACCTGTTATTAAACAAAAATCATCTGCAAATGGTGCAGTGATGAGCTTTTGGCCATGTAGTTCGTTTCCAAATCGACTATTTTCCGACAGAACTTCAAATATTGGATTGAAGCAAAGGAGAAAAATTATCGGCGATAACGGATCCCCTTGAAATATGCCCTTTTTAAAACGAAACTGTTGTAAGTTCCATTCTTTAGTCGAAACAAAACCATTAAGGGAAGAGTACAGGTTCATGACATAATCAACAATCGGTCTAGGAATATTATTACGATTAAGACTGTATTTAATAAGATCATGCGGTACTGATCCGAAATCATCCTTCAAGATCAAACCAAGTAAAGTGTACCGCCCTACGGGACTCTTTCGTGTGTTTAATAATTTCATGAACCACTGTATTGTGGTCGAGACAACCATAAATACCATGCAAGGATCTCTTCTGGACAGTGCGATCTACAAAATCATTATCAATTACAAAAGTATCAATTCTATTAGCAAGTATTTGGTGAAATATCTTGCCAGTCGTACTTGATAATGCTATCATTCGAAAATCCTCAGGGTGGTTTGTATCACCCTTGTTATAAATTAACGATACTCTATTCCGAGACCAAGATTTTCGGCGGACTGGGTTGCTTAATAGTTTACTGTAAAGTGTTGCAAGAAATATATTCATTTATTATTTATTCATTCATTTATCCATTTCTGATATTAATTGAGGATAACAATTTTTTTCTATGAGGCTCTGTTTGATGACAGCAGTATTCAATCATATTTATGAATGTAATCTCATGACAGCAGCCAAAAATAAAAAAGGAAATTAATATATACTTTACATGTAAAATTCCTTTATCTTAATATCTTTATCGACATTATGAAGTTTTTAATCCACAGTTTACTTATTTATGATATTATAAGGGAAATAAAAGCTCATTAACAAAGAAGTATCGTGCAAAATTATCGAATTCCGTCAGTTTTAATCAGACTCCGGGCCTAGTTTTTTTCTTTGTTGTTAATTTTATTTACAAAACTTTGCCAGAAACGTAAATAATCTGTCTCTCGGACTGCAGACAGGACTCCTTTGGGGGGAAATGCACCTCGATCTCTTGAAACAATACAGGAAAAAGATTGCAAGTTCTATCGAAATGCAAAAATACACGTTACCAATTTTTTCACACATCTTGCATATTCAATATCTAAAGGCTTGAATGATATTATGATCTTGAATATTGATGCGTTTTTCTTGAGCCTAATGAACAGGAAATGCGAAAAAAGCAAATATCGCGTATATATGATATCATATCAGTAAATGATGACAATAATAAAACATTAGCAAACGAACATATTTTAAAGAAATTATGCTTAGCGTAACAACTTGGTGTTATTCACCAGCGAAAGATATAATTCAAAGATATGACTACTTTTCCTTTATTCCGCATATTAAATAGATAGATAGGAATTGAATCTTGCTTTATTCTGCATACTGGACAGATGAAACGGATAATTGCATTAACATACCATTATGATATAATGTTGTTGCCTATAAGACCTAACAAAAAGATGTTGTATTGCCGTTTATGTGCCAGAACATGGATCGGTCGGTCGGATTCCCCCCCCCCCCCCCCCCCCCTCAAAACAGCGACCGTCGCCCAAAAAACTCAAAATCGGGAACGTTGCCCAAATCTAGCAGGTGCAGTGTATGGTATATACACGTACACGAGGCCGGGGTCTACTTTTTTACGCTAGCAGGATTTCGAAACTAGGGAAAAAGACGAGTGAGAATCTGGGAATAATTTGATTATTTAATAATTTATATCCCATCTAAACACATAAATAGATATCATTTTGTTCCATGATTGTTTTTCTTCTACAAAACGGTAAAAAAAAAAAATATATATATTAAAAAGCCGACTGTAGAATTTAAATTTCGGGGTCGGTCGTAAAGGGCAATACAACATTTTTGTTAGTCTCAACGGGTTTATCACCCGTTGAGACTAATTTCTTGGTCTAAATCATTAGTGATGATGGTGATTTGAATGTCAGAAAGGAACAATAAGATATTTTGATTTATAAGGTGGTACAATTTATGCAGGGTTCGTAATTAGTTTCAGAGAAAGGCATGGCTCTTTCCATGACCTAAGGCATTTTGTCAAATAGTAGCCATGTAGCATCATTCTCTAATGACGCATCAAAGACTACTCGATGATACATTCCCTACGTCAAGATGACGGACCTGCACACGACGGGTACTTGTGAGCATGAATACATACGATTATTGCTCAGTAACATCGAGCCCTTCAATCATACAACTTGGTTACCATAATAATAATAATAATAATTGTGATTTATATAGCGCATTATAATCATCGAAGAAAATCCTCTATTCGCTTTACATTATTAAATATATACAATTTACATTATCACATGCATATTACAGGCGCAGGCGCGTACGCAGGATTTTTTCAAGGGGGGGGGGGTTTAACATTTTTAAATCCGGGCAGAAAATTTCGCATCGACTCAGCCAGCCGCTGAATAAGCGGGGGGGGGGGGGGGGGGGGGGGGGGGGGGGGGGGGGGGGGGGGTTAGGTCACCTTTTTTTAGGTCAGCCATGGGGATTTTTTTAAAAATTTTTTTTAGGGGGGTTTATACAGTCACATAAAAATACCAAGGGGGGGGGGGGAGTTGACTGAACCCCCCAAACACCCCCCCCCCCTGCGTACGCGCCTGCATATTAGGCCTACATTATTACATACAAATTATAGATAATTGCATTATTACATACAAACTACAAATTAAATTACATCAGATGATATTTCACTACAACAAATAATAATTACTTTGAAAATACAGTAGATAAGTTTTGACAGCAGTCTTAAACATTGCAAGTGAGTTAATTTTTTTTATTTCTAAAGGTAGAGAATTCCTGAGTACGGGAGTGGAGACTGAAAGGACTCTGTTGCCATATGTCTGTGTGTTTATAGGCGTTAGGAAAGAAGATATTGTGAGGAGGATCTGAGGTTGCGTCTTGGCGTGTTCTGATGAACAAGTTCTGATATGTAGTGTGGAGAGAGGTAATTCTGAGCTTTCAAACATAAAATTAATATCTTTAAAAAGTACACGTTTTGCTATAGTAGACATTATCATACCAAAACTCCAGTCGATATCGATTTGTGTCCACGTTTACTCAATTACGCTGAGGTAGTTAGAACGAAGAGGTTGGAGAGCTCCTTGTTGTTGTTTGAATTCCTTAGCCTCGTGTCTAAAGAGAAATGAATAAGTAAAATAATCAATTCACCCATTGTTGATTTACGGGGTTTTGGCATCCATAATTGGAGTGATGTATTCATTCCTCGTATAGACTGGGGATATTACACTATGACATTTATTTAAAGTAAGAATTTGT